CCCCAAAACCCCAAAACCCCAAAACCCCGAGAAATCAATGAATTTATGATAGGAGGTGTTTGTTTGCTTAATTTGAATAATAAATTTAAAATGGATAGTAGTGCCGCTAATTCATATATGAGCAGCCCTGATCACTCTCAAATTATTATGGGGCAAAGTCATCACTAATCTAATTTTTTCAACCCCAACAATAATTAGAGCTACTTTTTCGCTGATCAAACAACAAATCATCACAACATAACAACTGACAATGAATGTACATTTCAGATTAATAATTAATCTTAAGCTACTCAAAGACAGCTAAGTTACCAAGAAAATTAATACTCTTAGCAGTTTTAATAGCAGAATCTCAGTAAACTATAAAGTTCTAATATATCAAGCAAGCATCAAATGATTATGCTTAACTAATACCAATAACTTACTTCAAGCTAGTAAATGAGATTCGAATAGTCAGCTAATTCAAGTAGTTGATCTTCACTTGTAGAGCGATATTAAATTGAAGAGAATTCCTATTTGAAATCAAATATCATGCGAGCCTCACATGATCAAAGTATGATATCAAATCAAAGCACAATTTCGGCGAAAAAGCCCCCCAGAGCAAACCTCAAAATTAAACAAGCAGTCAAGAAATAAGAAGTTAAGGATAAGGAAAATAGTGGGGCGACACATAACTTTGAACAGAAAAAATTGAATACAAGCTATAGTTGTAAAGCAATACTTAAAATGAACACAAATAAGAATCAAATTATTAATGACACTGAGGGAGATGAACAGAATGAAGATATTACAGTTGATTAATCCTACAATGAATCTCCTATGTCAAGCACCTAAAAGAAGCATGCTCTTAATCAAATGAAACTAAGAACTTAAATGAATACTTTGAGAAGATATAATAACTCAACTCTCTCTCACAATAATGTGAACAGAGTAATAGAATCCGATGATGATAACTCACCAACTATCTACTAGCCTAAGCATGACGATGAAAATACTATTATATCAGATAATAATCCTCATATGTCATCATTTGACTCCTAACAATCGTAGATGCTTGGACCAGATAACAGTAAAAGAGTCACCTAGGAATGGGAGCGTAAATTTGTTAACATTAGTATGCTGCTGAAAGAGAAATCCAAACGCAGAAAGCTATCAAAGCTCTATTCTGAACAAACTAATACGAATGAAATGCTAAGAGATGAAAATGACAACTTGTAATCACAGTAAAGGGCGTTGATTAGGCTACTTTAAGAAAAGGATAATAAGCTCAAATAGGTTGGTAATTTCAGCAGTGCCCCTAGACAACAGTCAGTGGAGAGATTCATTTAGAGATTTAGTCGAGAAATAGATGATGAGGAGGACATTTCAGAGAGAAATATTGTCTTAAGAAGACTAGTTCTTAGGAAGTTTAAAGATATGCAAGATTGGTTTCATAGATGGAGAAGAGAGAGCTTAATACTGATAGCAATAGATAAAATTGAGGAAGAGAGATAGGAGATTGTAAAAAGATTAGTTTCAAGAAGTTTTAATTATATTGGTTAAATAGCATAGAGATGCAGACAGAGAGTGGTAGGTGCATCATTCAGAAAGATAATAGACTACAAAGGCAAAAGAACATAAGGGGATTATTAAAAAATAATGGCTTTAAACAGTATGACATTTGTCTTGGATAAAAATGTTTAAAGAAATAAAAATCATGCTTGGAGATAAATATGTTAATATAAGAGTAAAAAACATGATGAATAATAACTGTAGATCTAGAATCAAACCTTTATCTAGGATTAGTAATTGATGTAATAAAAAGCAAGTTTTAAATTAGTCAAGATATACAAGAAGTAACTATTCAAGAATAAATAAAACAGCTTCAATCTATGGAAAGATGATTTACAAGGACTAAAATAAATGAGGAAGTTAATTATAAACAAAAAGATGAAAACAATCAAGCAAGCATTACTAAAATGGCATAAAATTTCAATCAAGTATACAGCTAAATTAAAGTAAGATGAGGCTTAAAAATCTATTAAGCGTATCTCTGATATCTCAAAGCGTTATATATCTCTAAATACTCTTTTCAATATAAAACTGAGGCAAGTCAATTAAACTAAATCGAGATACTTTATTATTTGGAATCAGTCCCTTACTTAAAATCATTTAACAGACATGCTTTAGCAATCAAGATATGAGCAACAAACAATATCTAAGACTATTCCTGCTGCTCAAATATTAACAACTATCATGAATAAAAGCTCAGAGAGACTCAATAAACGTTTATTTCTTGAAAAGTTGATGTCCATTAAACTCAAGTCCAAAGAGAAGCAAGTAAAAATTAGTAGTATCATACAGAGCTTGAGTGTTATTTTCTAGGGCAAGATGAAGCTGAAGTTAAATGCTTACTTTTAAAGATTTAAGACTATAAATATGCAAAGGACTTTCGACCTTGAAAAGGCTAAGCATTTCAAGAACTTTTAGTACTAATTATTCACCTTTAAGTAGTCATTTGAGGAACTGCAATAAGCTAATGATTCATTGTCATAGTAAAATGAGCAGTTGACGTCTATGATTAGCAAGTAGCTTGATGAATAATATCAGGAGCAGATAGATAAATTGAAATCAGATTTAAAATCTAAAACAAACGATTACATAGAATCTAGACGTGAAATCGATATCTTGAAACTCAATCTCTAAAAGCAGTAAAATGAAAATTACCAGCTTCAAGAGGACATCATAGAGTTTAAGGAAAGATTTCCTCTACTCTAGAGAGAAAAAGAGGTTCTAGATGACAAGATAAAATCATTGATGAATTAAAGAAAGGAGTTTGAAGATTTTCAGCTAGAAAATATGAATTTGAAATCAGAGTTATAGAGTAAAATGCAGCAGATGGAGTAGATGCAGTAGTATATAAAGCAACTGGAGTCATCAAATCAGAAAACAAATAGTAAATAAGAGTAGTTGATGGCAGTTCTCAAGGATGAGAAGTCTTAGCTGATTGGCTAGTTAGAGTAGAGTGCTAATGATATCCTTATGCTTAGAAAAAATTATGACATTCAAGTGAATTAAAATGTGATGAAAAATGAAGAGATGAGGATGAAAGATGAATACATGCATGGCATGGAGGAAAAGATGAGGAATATGGAGTAATAGTATATCAACCTATAGGATTAGTTCAGGTAGAAAATGAATGTAGTGCAGCAAGAATTTGAAAAACTTATGGAGTCAAGGGGTAAATAAGTGAACTAGGATGAAATGAACAGAATGAAACAATAATACGACTAGAAGGTGCAAAAGCTTATCCAAGATATGCAGGATAAAGAGCAACAGCTAGACAAGATGCGTTCACAAAACGCTGAAATAACAAGGGAGTTAGTAGAGGTGACTAACGAGAGTGGTTCAGCTAAAAATGAAGCTAGGATTCTTAGAGATAAACTAAATAAGGCCAAGTTAGATCTTCAGAGATTAGAAGAAGCTCTTAATCACAAGGAGCTTTAACTAAATGATATCAAGAGTGATTAACAGTCAGTGATTAGCAAGACTAAGAATGATCAGTTGCGATAAATAGATCAAATGAGGGCAGATATACACAGACTGTAAAGAGAGAAGGATAGTATCGAGCAACAGCTTAAAGAGTAGCTGGTGCTTTACGACAACTAGTTGAAGTATCACTCAGAGGAAAAAACTAAACTTCATACTTAAATCAACAACTACAGAGATGAAAATGAGAATCTTAAGAAGCAGTATTTCAATTTGGATAAGAAACTGCACTCAGAGCAGTCAAAGTATGAAGATGATATGGACAGACTAACTGGCGTCTATCAGCAACTTCAAAAGAAGCACTCTGAGGCCAAGCAGCAAATTAAGTAGTGTGAAAAGGACCTTGGTAGCTACCAGATTATACTAGAGAAGCTAGACGCCACTGTTAAAGATCTGCAGCATAAATCTTAAAACGCTCAGTAGGAAAGAGACAGAGCTGTAGATGAGAATAGGCAAATCAGATAGCGATACAGTAAAATCATTGGCACTGAGAAATTCTTATAGGATTTCCCAAACTGAGGCAGGGAGTCAGATACAAATATTGTTTCTATATTTAAATAATCAATTGAGATAACTCAATTGATATATCAATTAATTTCTAATTTAACTAATTTCTACTAATAGCTTTTCACATGGGGTTTTGGGGTTTTGGGGAAATCCTATAAG